CACTGTATTTCTGTCTGTTTATTTATTCCTATCTAAGTCCCTCAGACGTGTGTTCTTGGCTCTCCGTGTGTGTGTGTGTGTGTTAGGCTGCAGGTGTGGTCAACCATCGTGGTCGGTGTTGAACACCATGTGTAATGTGATGCAGGTGCTGCAGCCCAGTTTAGCCTGTGGTCTCCTCTGTACCCTGACTGGAACAGTATCATCTGAGCCTGGAGTTGCTGATTCACGGATGTGTTGCCAGACGTAGAAGAAACTGGAGCAACGTCTACGAAAGTTAAACTGTATATGTGTGTGTGTGTGTAGATGTGCTATTTGTTCTGCTCTGTCTCCTCAACTTCTCATTGGTTCTCCAGTGTCTCCTGTCCTTGTATTTGAATGGAAATAAATATTAGGAGTCAAACAATGCCAATATTAAACCTAATATATACATTTTGATATAAATATTTATTTGTGTATTTAGTGCGTTTTTCTTTCATTGGTTCAGATTGTGTAAAGTAAAAAAATAACCCAGCCACTCTATATATGACTGTGAATAACAGCACTGACTGACTCGACCCCTGATGTAGGAGACGTCCTAATTTGCTTTGGGCATTTTCATCACAGGACCTAACAAGTCACACGGAAAAGATAATCTTCATAGTTATCATGTTCCCCTTGGGGGGTTGTGAGTCACATGTTTTTGTTTTTTTTTTAGGATTGTGTCTTGTGATTCTCGTCAATATTCTAGACAGATTTTGTCCGGTGTATACGTGTTTCAAGTCTCTTTAAAATGTAGTGGTTTTCAGTGGTTTTATACAGTCACATAACGCTAAGTGTTTGGTCATTTGGTGGTCGCAGTAAAACTGAGCCAAAAAAAAAGTATATGTAATGAAATATAGTGATCTTTAAGTTTAAATGTATTCACATTTCACTAACTCAGTGTGAAATCCCGGCCTGTTTAGTTGAAAACAACGCTGATATAATCACAGGAATTGAAGAAAGACACGCAAAGATCTTCTTCAACCGTTCTCATTCTCGTTTTTTTTTTAGTTTTCATAGCCATCTGATTCTCGTTTTTTTCGAGTTTTCATAGCCATCTGCTGCCATCAAGTGGAAGAGTATTTAATTAATCTGCCTGTCGCTGTAATTTAACGAAGAAAGAAAAATTATCCCCACTGAATAAATAATAGATTTCAGACCAAGTAGGTGGAATTGGATAATTTTCCACGGCAAATGATGCTGGAGAACCCCGGCACATACAGGGAGAACATCAGTACAGTCAGCTGGGTTTGAACCAGTGACCTTCTTGCTGTGAGGCGAGTCTACTCCCCACGCTCTCACCCTCATGTGACCGAGGTCAAACTGTAACTGGTGGCGGTAATAACTCATTAGGAAAAATGTGTTTAACCTAGAGTAGAATAATGACGACCCTGACCAGTCCTGGTTCCTTTAATTACTAGGAAGTCGTATTTTAGACGGACTCGTAGTAAATGTCAAGTATCGAGTATGTGACCAACGATAGGAGTGTGAGTAAAACTAGTTAAGTCAGTTAAGAACGGGGGCAGACGTCGACCGTTTCACGTAGAAATGATGAAACTTTTTTTTTTAAATCTTGGAGACAATTAGCACTCAAATGATTATTATGTTTTATCTGGAGCGGACTGGATATCTGAGTCCCAGAGGCATTTGTACTATCACTACACTAAAATACAGGGGGGGGGGAGAGGGAGAGGGAGAGAGAGAGAGAGGGAGAGAGAGAGAGAGAGACCAACATGGACCTAAATACACAAAGAAAAACACGTCTTATCGTATAAACTCTGAAGGATTTCGAAGGATTCTACCTGGGGAGGTCGTGTTAGACGAAGCGAGAACACGTGCCTCACACACACACACAAACACACAGACACACATACACGGACTGTAACGGTTCGGACTGCCTGGCTATTGTAGCATTTACTTCAACCAATAAACAACAACTCCAAACCGCAGTATCACACACAGGCTGGAGGGCGGCCATCAACCTGACCCACAGATGAACGGTCACAGTCAGTCAATGAAGTCTTTGTGTTACAGTGTTGCCTCACTGCCCCCCCACACCCCCCCGGTCCACAGAGGTCATTTCAGTCTGATGATTTATGGCTCCATCTCATCTCTATATCTGCTCCATATATTTTCTCTTTTTCAAACTCATTTTCCTTCTGTCTTTGGTTCCATCCTGTGCCCAGTTCTTTCCCGCTCTCTCTCTCTCTCTCTTACTTCCACACTTCACGCAGTGAGCCCGAGTGTGACCGCTAACAAGAGGAAACAGCCTCAGCCACCGACTGTAGGCGCAGCACTTACTGGTGTTCCATATTTAATGGCAGCTGTGTGTGTCAAATCGTCTGCTGTAACACCTGGTTATTATTATTTTCACTGAAATCGGAATCATTTTGAATCATGTTTGTCAACTTTTAATAAAAAAATAAATTAAAAAAAGTGTAAGCAGCTAATGCTAATTAGTGAGTGAGCTCTTCTTCTCCTTTTCCTCCTCCTCTACATTCTTTCAAAAACATTTTTTCTTTATCCAGCTTATCTTAGTAACAAACTTAACTTTTCTACTTTTCTATTCATACAAGCACACAAAGACTCACATGCGAAGAAAGACACAGGCTAGCAACAAAAGAATGAACAAAGACTGAAGAGCACGACAACAAATGTTCCCTCTGCATTCATGACATGGGAGAAAAGAAATCAAATGTCTTTAAAAGCCAATTTATACTAATATATCATTTAAAATATTGTTTAAATTCAAAATAAAGAGACTGAATGAAAGAAAGAGACTAGGGAGAAAAACAGTCAATAATAATTTTTTTTTTTTACTTCATACAAGTAAACATATCTTGTGTAGAAACTAGAAAAAAATAGTTGTTAGATTTTTCAAAATATTTATATATATGTATATATATATGTTTCTCAGCAGTCCTCTTCTTACATGTAGGTCAGTTTGTGGTGGCTACACTGGGAGTAATCAATACAAAACAATCAATGTTTAATATAACTGCCCTGAGTTCATGTGTCACACTCATTAAGTTTCAGTGTAAACATGTAAATATATATATATATATATATATTTCTCACCAGTCCTGTTCCAATATGTAGGTCAGTGTGTGGCAGCTACTGTAAGTAATCAATACAAACCAATCATTGTTTAACTGGACTACTGTGTCACACTCATCAACTCGTCAAAATTCAATAAAATTATAAGTATTTGGTTGTAATAATCCAACGTTAAATATATATTTACCAGCCTCTTACATGAGGGAAACACGGTAACGTCTTAAAGATCACTTCATCTCTACGTTTGTAACATAAAAGTCAATCTTTGTTCAGAGCAACGTCAATAAAATAAAAACTTCAGCTTCAACTTCATCGGCGCGACTACAGAACAGGGGAACATCAGATGTGGAGACACCGGTTTCCCAAACCTACAGCTGCTTTCCTGCACCAAAGTACCCACACACTGGGGCAGCCCTGGAGGACAACAACCAAAATGTCCGGGCGGACTGAGGTGTCGGACGTCAGGGCTCCTGCACCAAAGTACCCAACACTGGGGCAGTACTGAAGAAAAACAACCAAAATGTCCGAGCGGACTGAGGTGTCGGACGTCAGGGCAGCGGTCAGCGGATCAGCTGACCACGTCTGTGTCCAGACCCTAACGAACACCAACACGTCGATTTTGTTCATCGGTAAAAGTTCTATTTTATGTGATTGACAGTCTGATTGACAGCTGATCCATCCAACCCAACGTCTGGTTTTGCGTCATGATGAAAATGAGGTCAGAAATTCATAATGGATTTTAGTTTTCGTGGGGTTGAATCTAAGAGGAATGTGCTGCAGGGAATCATCGATTCAAGATCGACATTTAACATTTAAAAAAAAAATCTACCCTTAAAATCACCCCATAGTCCAGGATTTTTTTTTTTAAGAAACAAAATGTTTTCTATTCACTTATCAACTGATGCAGGGATGAATTATTTTGACATTAAATCAATAGCAGCATTGTGGAGCAGCCAGTCCAGAACAGAAGACATTGAGACATTTGTGCTCCATGTTTAAAATCCCCCAAAAAACAAAAACTGGACAAGACTCACAAACACATCATGACATTTAACGCTGGCAAGGAAAGTCAGTGTGAAAATAAGAAAGAGAGAGAAGAAGGAAGTGTGAAACAGAACCAGAAGTTGGACTGAGGAAAGACTAAAGACCCTGAGAGGCTGCAGATACAGACGACAGCCACCAGGGTCTCTAACGATGGAGGAGACTGAGGGACAGCAGCAGATCTGAGATCAGATCTCAACACTTCTTTGAAGTCCTGGTCTCAGGGGGGTGCGGGGGGGGGTGTGAGGACCGGAGAGTTTAAAAAAAAAAATCACATGCGTGGGTGTCTGTGTGATTGGATTTCCATACACATAGGAACAAACATGTGATCAAACTGGACATCTTCACGTCAAGCGTGGCGCATCCATGTGACTGAAGCACAACAACAATCAGTGGAAAAATGACAGACATAAACGGTGTCCACACAACACCTTGTTGTTTGTTCAGAGCTTAAATGGATTTTTTTTTTCTTTTGTCCTTTTCTTTTCTTTTCCTCCCCGGTTCCTCCCAAGTGTCTGATTGTTGTAATGACCACCGACCAGAGGAGGCTCTGTGTGGCACACACACACACACACACACACACACAATCACCAGCTCCATCACCGCAAATGGAATCAAGCAATTAAAATGAGTCAGTGTCAAGTCCGGGGGCTGTTTCCAGGATAAGTGCTGCTGAGCTGACACATGATGCGGCCGCAGTCCGGTTTTTATTTATTTTTATTTTTTTTAGGTTAAAATTTGGTTTTGTCCCAACGCGATGGACGGAACAGAATTAAGAAAAACCCGTTATTTGTCGTTTGTCACACTACATATATATATTCATATATACATATATATGGAGTCGTTTGTGTGCAGAGTGCTGTGAGGTGTAGTATTGAACTTACCAGTTTGAAGAGTGGGAATTCCCTTTACATCCTATACTGCAGGTGTCGGTGCGCTGCCGCCGCCGCTGCTGCTGCTCCGCTGCTGCTGCTGCTATCCCCGGGACTGGACCAGTGGATTCACTTCAGCGCTCTCCGGGACAGCCGGCTGTCAGCCAGGAACGTGACCGGAATAATT